TTTCCCAGACCCAGACCTTTCCCGGTGGCTCCCAACACGGTTTCTTGAGGCTTCTCCTCGCACCCCACACAGCTCACGCTTCATCTCTGTTCCCACCCCACCACCCCTCTCACTTTCTGCGTGGATTTGTGCCTCAGGGCTCCAGCGACTCCTCTCATTGGCTGAGGGGCAGACATCTGCAGGCAACTGGCCAATCAGGAGCCTGCCTCTGCCCAACCGTGGGTACCACGGGCTTGTTTTCCCCTGGGGAAGGGCAGGCATTGTGAGCATGGGTCTGGGTGTGCGTGGGGTAAGGAGCTTGATGGGGGCAAGAGGGACCCTGTCTAAGAGGCCAGGTATGGGAGACAGGGGCTCAAGGCGGGGCAGAGTTGGGACCATGGAAACCAACCTAGCACTGGCCTCTGTCTCTCCCAGTTCTGAGTGATGGGTCTTCTCTGTGGAGTGTGTGAAGTACAGGATGCCAGTTCCAGACCTCCAGCAATCTCATCCTCACCTCCATTTTCCTCTGCGCAGCCTGTGGGCCTTAGGAAGAGGGCATGGACCCTGTTGTTTACTCGCTGGTGTTTACTCCTGGGGCTGGCCTTGGTCCACTTAGGGCCAGGCCAGATGGCGTAAGCTGGATGGTGTAACAACCCTTTCTTCTTTTTTGGCCAAAAGGCTGCCCCTGACCCAATTTCAGGAGGGCTCTGAGGCCAAGGTGTTTGTCCACAGGGAGAGGCCACATGGAGCCCCTCAGGTCCCTGTGCCACCACGTGCAGTACAGTGGAGGGGAGCCAGTCGTAGATATCCACCAAGGCCGAGAGCCCAGCTTCCCCCAGTGACCCTCAGGTGTGGCTGGTACAGCCAGGGGCTCCTGGCTGGGCCCGGGGACCTCAGTGTGATAGGGAGTGTGCTACCTTAGTAGCAACCCTAAGCAAGAGACAGAAAGGCTTAGGGGAAAAACTCTATCTACATACTGAAGTGACGTCTATAAAGCCTACCTGGCCTCGCAAACTGTGCAAACACAGTCTTCCAATGCAGTGGGGCGGGGTGAGGCAGGAGGAGCCCCCTGGCCTGCCCCTGGTTTTTCCCTGGTGTGAGGAAGCCCTCGGGCAAGAATTCAGCGGTCAAGCTGGGACCAGCTGCCTGCTGGCTGTATCAGCCCTGACAATGATCAGCAAATCTTTAGTGAGTTTACCTAGAAGGTCTCTGGAGGTGGAGGAGGACTTGTACTTCAGCCTTCAACCCATCCCTTTCACCAGGGAGTCCTGGGCAAACTCACCTGGGAAGGGAGTGGATTCTCGCTGTGTATGTTTCAGTTTCAGATGCTGCCTTTGTCTCTGGGTGTGTATGTCAATAAGAATTAGCTGTGGTTGTGAGTGACAGAAAAGCCCAAACAACCCTGTAGTCAATACGACCGACATTTATTTCTCTCTCACGTAAATGAAGTCTGGAGGTATTCAGTCTACATTTGTTATGGTAGCTCTGCCACCATCAGGAACCCGGGCTCCTTCTATCTTACTGTGTCACCAGTTTCAAACACGGCCTCTACCTCATGGTGCCACGTGGTTGCCAGGGCTCCAGCCATGATATCAGCATTGCAGCCAGCTAGAAAAAGGAAGTGGTGAAGAGGAGCAGCTCCCCTCCCCCGCCCCGCCAGGAAAAGTCCCATTCATAAGTCACACAGGATACTTCTCTGTGGATTCTATTGGGCAGAATTTAATCATATAACTTCAAATAGCCTCAAGAGGAGATTAATAAAAAACGTAATCTTTAGTCTGAGTGGTCATGGGCTAAGCTTAAAACTAGGGGTCTTGTTGCTGAGGAAGAAGATGGAACACATACTGGAGTAGAACTAATTGTCCCTTCCACAGCATGAGACCTGAGTAGAGGGTTCTGGATGCTGCATGATTCCCATAGGCTCCTCCAGATGGCAGCCTGGCTGCGGTGAACGGGGTTCTGCCTCCCCATCTGGGCTCTGCCTCCAGCTTTGGGACTTGAAGATCTCTTTGGAGCTGTGGTGGTAGCAGGAATACGAGCTCCCTGGCATCTCCAGCAGGGAGAGGATGAGTTTGATGATCAGGGCCAGCCACGCCATCCCAAAGAGGATCCACAGGGACACTGTATTCTTGTACCACAGCGGGTACCTCCGGGAGGGGTCCATCCCTGGGGGGAGAGGCAAGGTCAGAGGATGGAGGCCTGGGAAGGTCAAGGCCACATTCCCAAACAGAAACAGACACACATGACTTGATGCATATGAGCAGAATATGGGAAGTTCAGATTGGTTGGAGATTGCTGGCCTTGTGGCCACCTCTGTAGGACTCTAGGAAGCCTCCTTGGGTTGACACCTTGGGTTTGGAAGCTAAATTTCCTCTTTGGCTTTCTGACAGATTCTGTGCTCTATCCCAGTGGTTCTCAAAGTGGGGTCCCTGGACCAGCAGCATCAGCATCACCTCAGAGTTTCCTAGAAATGTAAATGGTCGGGCCCCACTCCAGACCTACCGAATGCAAACTCTGGGGGTAGGCCCAGCAATCTGTGTTTTAATAGGCCTTCCAAGAGATTCTAATGCCTTCTCTGCTGTTTGCCTGTCTCTGTGTTTGGTTTCCTCATATCTAAACAGAAGCAACTTGCCAGGAGCTGTAGGAAGCACAGAGGGGACCACTGGAGTTTGTATCCTGCCTTGGTTCTTCCCAGCTGTGTGACCGTCATCTGTCTGATGCCCCTCCCCTGGGAAATGGGGAAGATGATTATTTGTCAAGGCCCTGGCTTTTGGGATGAAATCATAAACTCTTCTCCCAAGGTCCTTACCTACTCTTCCAGCCTCGATTTGCACGCCTTTTCCCACTGAGTGCTGTGCTTGTCACTCTGGGCTTTCCCCACTTCCTCCATCTATCTATCATCAGCCCTGCCTTTGTATTTGCTGTCCTCCCAGCTCAGAATGCTCTTCATTTCCAATTCCTCTTGGCCTAGTTAACTTCCCCTCATCCTGCAGATAGATCTCAGCTAGTCTTCACTCCCAGAGATGAGGCTGAGCCCCTCTGTTACACTCTCTCCCAGCCCATGTACTCTGCCGGCTAAGCTACTTATTCTCTCTGGGCCTTGACTTCCTCATCTGTAAAACAGAGACAACAAGAGGTCCACCTCCCAGGACTGGCTTCAAATATCTAAGGTTTTCAGAATGGTACCTGGTACATAACAGGTGCCCAAGACCTGGAGTTGGGTGATTGTTTTACTCACCATTAGACCCCCACAAGGGTGCTCCCAACAGAGGACTGGATAAGTAAGGGCAGAGGGAAGGGACAGATGGAGGTCATTGTGAGGCTTAGCCTGCTCCATAACTTAATTTTTCCCTCTTTCCTAGGGGTCTATCTTGCCTCCCTCATCAGATCGGGTTTGTTCAAAGGGTGAGATCTGTCTTCTTATTTCCTCAGCATCTTTTTCTGTTTTCAGGTCCCGTCCCACCCACCCCTCTGTCCACTCCCATCCTGCCCTGCTGGCCCCAAGACAACCTCTCTTTGCAGTCACTGAAGCCTGGGCCCCTCTCCTGGGCCACAGCTCGGGAGTGAGCCTGCAGCCCCTGACCCCACCTCACCACCTGGCAGGAGCCAGGATTGGATTAAGCTGATTGGGTTATGGGGCCAAGATTCCGCTGGCGGTCCCAAATGAGATCAGCGGTGAGCCAGCTTTCTGCCCCTGCCACCCACCAGTTCGGCTTGCTCCTGGCAACTGAGGGGGAGGAAGTGTCCTTCTCCCGTTTGATTTCATTGTTCTAGCCGAAATCGTAAGTGGCAGGAGATCTGGCAGCTGGCAAGGCGCTCCAATGAGTTGCAAATGCAATTGGGGGACGTGGGGGTATGAGGCTGGGCGGGGGGCACAGACGGCTGGGACCGGGGTGCTGCTCTTGGCCACGGCCTTCAGGGAAAGAGGAGCAGCCGTGAAGACAGCACCCCTGTGGTTGCTGATACAGGGACAACGGGCACCCCGAGTCCAGGTTGTGGACCTCAGCATTCCCATCCAAGGAAAGGGTTTGACCTTGTCCTTGGAGGACAGAGAAGGTCAAGAGACATGAGAAAGAGGCGGGAGTAGGGTTTGTCCCTGCTCAGCTGTGGAAGATTCTGCAACATAGGTATCCTGGCTTGGGAGTCTGTCTTCGACCTGCTCTTGGCTTGCCTGCTCTAGGACCTTAGTCAACCTCTTTCCCCTCTCTGGGCCTCAGTTTCTGCTTGCAGATGAGGCATTCAAGGGTTCTGTGTGTGGTGCAGGAGGCTGTGGCAGGACCCATCACATCTCGCAGGCCTGGGTTGAGGCTCTTCCGGCTGAGCTCCTGGTGGCCCAGGTGCCGGGTGGAAGAGGGAGAGCTCAGAGTAGAGAGGGAGGCAGGGCTCAGCCACACAGAGGCCCTTGTAGGCCTAGTCATGGATTTTGGACTCTATCCTAAGACTATGGGAAAACACTGAAGGTTTTCAGAGGAGCTGGGCAGGTGACATGATAGCACCTGTCATTTTTAAAGGTCTTAAGAGCCAAGGGAGGACAAAGATACAGGCTGCACAAATCCATGGGTGCCATTCCATTGTGCTCTGTGTGAATAGCAACCCCTTAGGGTTGTGCAGTGCCCAATCTGTGTAACGAGCCATGTACAACAGCTCTGCCTGGACTAAAGAGATGACAGTGGGAGCAGAGAGGAGAGGACAGATACAAGAATCACTCTCTGAGCTGTGAGGGGGCTACATGTGGCCCTTGGAACCACTGGGCTCAGCTCTCCTTAGACACATCTCTCCATTTTGAGGGTAGGAGTGGGAGCATACCCATTTGGAGGAAACCTTCTCAAAGATTTCCTTCCAGAGCAACAGGCTTCCTCCCAGGATGGAGGACATCAGGAAGGGACAGCACGAGGCCCCTGACACAAGACCCTTCTTCCCAAGAAAGGAGAGGTTCAGGGAAGGGGGCTCTGCACACAGGTGAGAAGGCCATCACCTAGCCCAGGCCCCCATTTTATATACAGGAACACTAAGGCCCAGAGAGGGGATGCGTGAGGTGGTCTGGAAAGAGTATGAGCTTGGGAGTCAACAGATCAGAATTCGAGCTAGCTGTGCAATCTCAGGCAAATGGCTTGGCATCTTTGAGCTTCAGCTTCCTCCTTAGTAAAATGGGCAAAAAATTGCCACTCTAGATTGCTTGATGAGCTAACTGCTTGTTACTTTGGCAAGACCTCATTTCAATATTCCAGGCAGGGTTCTGTCTCTAAGGATGTGAAGACGGACAGGGCCTCCTCCCTGATTGAGGGCCAGGGATCTGAGGGAGGGTGCAGAGCCCCTCGAGACCACTGTGCTGGTGGTACCAGTGGCCACTGCTCTTGTGGTGAACCTTCAGGGGAGGGCAGCAAAGGGGGATGATGAGGCTGAGCGGAGGGCCCAGCCACCCCTGAAGCCCCACAGAATGTCCCTCTACCGCCACCTGCTGGGCACCTGCCTCATCTTTATTATGCAAGGCCAGAGGTTTCTGGGCCCCTCGCCTTGCCCGCACTGGGTGGTGACCGCTGATCTAACCTCACCTTGGGCCTTCTGCACCACACAGCCCTTCCTTGCTGGCGCTCAAAGTTTGTCTGCCAATGGTTTTCCAATGCAGACTCTCCTGCCTAGTCCCTGCAGCCATGTGGAACAAATGGCCCTCGGCCCAGGGAGAGTGGGAAGCTTGGCATTTCATGGGGCAGGGTGAAGTGGGGAGGAGAGACCCTGGGACAAGGAAGGATCAGGGAGGGAGGTCAGGGACTCCCCTAACTTGGTGAGTGCTCATAACAATGGTTGAGTCTCAGACATTTCCAGTGCTTGTCAAGAGGGCCAGGAGTGTGACTTACAGCCAGCCCCAAGCCCTGGGGTCAAACTCCAGGTGTCACTTTTTAGCCGGACCTTGGCCCCATCACACAACAAAGCAGGTTGAACTTGCCAAGGACCGTGTCCTTTGGACTTTGGGCCTGCAAACCCCCACGGGGCCTGGCACATAGCAGGTGCCAGCAGACGGAGCGGGCGAGTGGAGGGAATGCAGGCCGGGCAGCTGAGTGTCCAGGCCGCTCTCCCACCGCCTGCAGGGCTCTCTCACCAATCACGTAGTCGCCGAAGCCCACGGTGCTGAGGGTGATGAAGGCGAAGTAGAAGCTCTCCACGTAGCTCCAGCCCTCCATGTGGCAGAAGAGCAGGGGGGGAAGCAGCAGGAAAAGCAGGAGGCCCGAGAGGAGGGCACCGGCACCCGCCAGCCACCGAGCTTTGGTCGGGTCCTGTGGGTGCACACAGAGCCCTGTGTGGCCTCGACCCAGTGCTGGGGGACCAGACAGCCCGGCGGGGGAGAGGGGTTCCTAAGCTGGAGGCAAGGCGAATGCTCCCTGCCAGGAGGAAGGGGCTGCCCTTGGGGCCCCTCTACGTAGTCTGTGTTCTCCAGGTTCTTGGGCAAAACCTCGGCTGGCTTGTTCCCTTCCTGACCCCCAGGTGCCACGGCGTCTCCCCCACTGATGCCCCTTTATTACTAAAGACCCCCATTCTGGGCAGTGGCCTCCAATCCCACCACATCCCTACCAGGAACCCTACTTTCCAGAAGTAACCCCTGCTCCTCTGGGCCCCCCGACTCCCACTACCTGGCTCATCCTAGCAGTAACCCACCCTTCCCCTTACTCCCACAGCCCCTTCACCTGCCAGGCACCCCCCAGCCTGCGGGCACAATGGTGCATCCCCCGCTGCATGAGATGCCCCAGTCGGTTGAGCACCACGAGGTTGAGCGGGATCCCCACAAGAGCAAAGAAGATGCAGAAGAGGCGGGCGGCCATCGTTCGGGGGCTCAGGTTGCCGTAGCCTGAGGCAAGACGGAGGCACATCAGGGGCCCTTTCCATCCCCAGGGGCCACCACTCCTCACCCCCTCCAGACTCGGCAGCTGGCATTTACAGAGGCCTTTGGTTCCCGCTCCAGGACTGTGCCTCATTCCCTCAGTCCCACCTCACAACCGGCTGTCCAAGTGGGGATTACGCCCCATGTTTTACGGACTGGAAAACGGAAGCTCCAGGAGGCTCAGCAGTGTGTGTGAGCGCAAACCCACCAAGTGTGAGACTCCATTCTCTCCCTTCGTTTCCCCCTCTGTGGATGGACAGAAGGACGTGGAGAGGGGCACGGAAGGGTGTGGAGCCTCCAGATGCTGCACCTCTGGGACAGACACCATTCCAGCCAGGGCCCTGTTGCCTCCAGGCTCCTGTCTCTGGGCACCACCCCCAGGCCCATGCAGTCAGTCTTGCTTGGGGCTCCAAACATCTCTCGGGCTCCTTTTTCATCCTTCAAAGACCTCCTTCCCCTCCCCCGATGCATCTCTTACACATCTGATTCTGTCCTGAAACCTGATTTCCAGAGGGCCCTCACTAAGGCACCTGGGCTCCCCGCCAAACCTCTTGGGAGTGAGGGGCAGTGGTTGGACCATCAGGTGCCCTGGGGGAGGTGGAGGTTGGCTATCTTCCTGTCATGCAGATAAGGGATGGGGAGGCTAGGGGGACGAGGCGTTCCTCGAAGGACTCCATCAGCCTGGGCATTCTTTCCTCCGTCATTCCTCTCCATCTCTGTCCCCTGACTTCTTGGTCAGCACCACTGTCTTGCCTTGAGTCAGATGCAAGCCTGATTATATTGTTTCCCAGGATTCCTCGAGTCTGCTGAGGAAAGCCCAAAGTCTCACCCAACCCATCTCCAAGCTCATCTGGTCCCCCACTTCCCCAGTTCCGGCCACACTCCTGCCCTGCTGAGCCCCCAGCCCCTTCCTGCCTCTGTGTTTTGAGCATGACTCTCCCTCTACCAAGAGCATAGAAACGGCAACCCCAGTGCCGTGGCTCCCCCAGCCCTCTGCCAGCTTTGAGGGGAACCCACTGTATGGGAATGATTTGTTTCCAAGTCTGCTATTCTCAAGAGCCCCTCAGGAGCATGGACTGAGTCATAATCAGCTTTATATTCTCAGCAACTGGCACAGGGTCTGACACCTCAGAGGTGCTCACCAAGCGTGTGTTGAAGGAGTTTTAAGAATGAATGAATGAATGAATGAGAAATACAGGAATGAATGAGTCAATAGATGAACAGATGCCCTGCATCCTGCACCCCGGGGGACAGGCTGGGTCAGCACTCCCACACACCCCATGCTCACCTGTATTGGTGGTTTACCTCACTCCCACCTTATTGGGGGGGCTCAGGGCATAGTCCCAAGAGCGGCCAAAGCATGCACTCATCTAGAGCATGGACTTTGGAATCAGAGGTGCTTCCTGCGTTTGAATCCCAGCGCTGCCCCTTGAAGGCTGTGGGGCCTTGGGTGAATGGTTTGACCTTTCTGAGCTTCTATGTCCTTGTCTGTAAGATGGGTATACGTCTACCCCACAGTGTGCCACAGCACAAAAGGAGGCAGTGGAGATGTGTCATAGATGGGAACGTGCCCCCTCAAGCATCTAGTATACTGAAGGTGTTAAAGGAACGTTTGCTTCGTGAATGAACGGATGAATGACCCAACTCCACTGGACCAGCTTCTGGTCCGAGGACATCAGCAGCCCCCTTGTTTTAGAACCCCATGCTGCATCTAAGCCACCTCTCACTTCAGCAGGCCTCCCACCTGTCACCTCTTTTCTGTTGCTAGTCCAGCCCCAGGACATCCTGAGAGAGCCCCACCAGGAAGGCCTTGTGTGGCTGCCCTGTACCTCCTCCAAAGTCAGCCCTCATTTTGAACCTTTCCAGTCACCTTGTCCTTCCTGTTGCCCAAGCCCAGCAGCCACACTCCTACCTCAGGGCCTTTGCACTTGCTTCCCCAGATATTTACATGGTTTTCTCCCTCATTCCGTTCATGTCTCTTAACCAACTGAGCCACCCAGGCGCCCTCTGTTCATGTCTCTGCTTCAAGGTTACCGTATCAACAAGGCCTTCGATATACAATAGCCCCCTTCACTATCAGAGCCCCTTACCTGGCATTATTTTTCTTGAAACACCTCCCACCCCCTGAACATTGTCTATGTATCTGTTTGTTTGTTGGGTGTCCTCTTGCACTAGAACGTCAGCGCCCCCCCCCACAAGGGCAGGGACTTGTCATTTTCTGCTCACCATTGTTTCCCCAGAACTCTCAGGCTCCCACATCTACTAAGTCTATTTGTTGAATGAATGCATGGCTAGATAAGTGAATGAATGAGCAAGCCAGGGATGGAGTTCATAGGCAATGGACAAAGTGGGGTTCAGGCCTGTCTGGCTGGTCTAGAAGTGTTTGAGGGCCTGTCAGACCCTATTTCATCTTGGGTCTTGGAAAGTACAGCCCTTACTGGGTGCTGGACCCAGGGCCCCAGGGACGCCAAGGAAGCAGTCCGCTGCTGTGTCTCTCAGATTATTCATTCCTTTCCTTGCGGAGTGTTCCACAGGTACCCCATTTCCTGTCTCTGCCCTCCTCCTCCCCTCTCTGCATCCCCTCTGCATGCTCGTGCATGCGTGTGTGGTCAGAATCACAGGGACATGAACTTCCCTACTGTCCACCCCAGAACGGCCCTCTCTTTCTTCCTGTTGTTTAGAATTCCCACTCTATCTTGTAAACCTCCTAAAGGTTTACACTCAAGAGCAATACTGTCCCCTAGCTTGGTTTCAAATTCCAACTCTGCTGTTTATGTGACCTTGGGGAAATTGTGTAACTTCTGTGTGCCTCAGTTTCCCCCTCTGTGACATGAAAATCATAAGCCCTATCCTTGGAGATGAGGCCATATGGACAAATCTCAATTGTAAAAGAGTCCCTCAATTGAAATCTCAATTGTAAAAGAGCCCCTCACAGTGCCTAGTACAAGTAGATCATGTGTGCAGGGTGGGGTGGGCTCCCCCTTCCTCTGCCCTTCTTCCCTTCAGAGAGAGCTGCCTCAGGCCTAGTAAAGAGGAAGGGACAGGTTACCAAAGTCAGAATTCAGAGGGCCAAAGTCCAGGGCCTGGGGCAAAGGGTGTAGGAGGTGCGGGGTTTAGAGACTAAAGGCCCCCACACAACAGGGAGGCCTCCCTGCAGTGACTACGCCTCAACATCCCCTTCTGCCCTGGGACTCAGTGAGTGTAGGTGGAATGGGTGTTTTTGGAATTAATTAACGTGTCAGTGTTTGTTGAGTGCCCACTGTATGCGGGGCTTTGTACTAGGCCCAGTGGGTGTAAAGAGGCATAAATACCATCCTGGCTAGTCCTTCCAGGGTCACAGGGTCCGTGGAGTCTGAGGGGCCTCCCCCAAGCATGCTTGCCTCAAGGAGGAGGGCTGCCCAAGCTCCTGCGTAGCCCTGAGACCCGTTTCCAAGAAGTATTTGCTGCTTTAAAACTAGATGGAGAGTCCTCTGGGTGCTCCTGCCTGGCTCCACTCTGGGGAGGACGGAGGCTGGGACCCTGGTTCCTGGGGAGAGGATCCTGGCGGGCCCAGAGCTGGTGGAGGGGGCCCTGGCCAGCAGTGGTGTCAGCCTGCCACCTGGTGTTAAGTCCGGTGTCATGCAGGGCGGGGAAACCCCAAGGGCAGGGGGATGGGGTTCTGGACTTGAGTTGTTTCTTGGGTTTCAGAGCTGGAGGGACCTAGGCTGCTCTTCTCCTTCCCTTTCCAGCAGCCCCCAGGCACCGTCCCAAGACAAGTTCTACCTTTGCTTTCCTGAAGGCAGGGCTAAGGAGACAGGATTGAGATCTGGCTCCAGGGGTCCCTGTGTGTGAGGGAGGAAGTGGGCTTGGAGAAGATGGTGAGGAGGGTGAGGGGTGCCACAGTGAGCTGGGGAGAGGCCTCCGGGAATGGCCACCTTTCCCCAATGCTGAGAAGAGGGGCCGGAAAGGCTCTTTTTAGATTTCGGTCCCTGCCTCTTGCCTAATTTCCCCTTGCCCCCCATCTCCAGCCCTGGGCTCAGCGTTGGGTGGGCTTGGCTCTGGACACTCCCTGTCCCCCATCCTCTAGGGGAGACCAGCCTCCCCAGGCCCACCCACTCTTACCAATGGTGGTGATGGTCGACACGGAAAAGAAGAAGGAGCCCATGAACTCCCAGCGTCCCATGCTGGTGGTGTTGTCAAGGACAATGTCCCCACTTTGGTATGCTTGGATGATGCCCTGGCGGAGAGACTGCAGTGACCACCAGGCTCTGTGGGGCAACTGGGCCCCTGCACCCAAACACATACACGTGTGCATGAATACACGCTCATGCGTGTGCATACAAACACACGCACACACACACACATATTCATGGACAGTCCTCACAACCACTCTTCAATCTCAGCCCTTCCAGGGCAAGGAGGTTCTACCCCTCCACCCAGGGCCTCCCCAGGGGCAGGGACCATGGGGACAGCTCCTTCCCTTCTTTACCCTAGACCCCAGGTCAGCTCAGGGTGTCTCACCAGCTGGAAGAACACCATTCCATCCCCCCTCCCCTGCTCACTCCCATCCTGGCAACGAGCACTGCCAGGCAGGACATGTGGTGTTTTAGGAGACCCGGAGATGTAAGAGACAGGACCTCAGTCCTCAGTGGGGCAGAGACAGACTTAACTCATACAGTGCAGCCAGTGCAAGCTTTGGGCATTAAGGTGGTAGAGCTGCATGACCCTGGACAAGATACCTAACTTCTCCGTGCCTCAGTTTCCTTATCTGTAAAATGGGAATACTAATAGCACCTACTTTATAGAGTTGTGTGGGTTAAATGTGGTATTTGGTGTAGACTTAGAACGGTACCTAGGACATGGTAAGTGCGAGTGGTTGCCATCATCCTCATGGTTACAAATATAATAGTAGGAATGCAAAGAGGAAATGTGTTCATTCTGCTGGGGGTAGGGGCAGAAGGCTTCATGGAAGAGGTGATGTTTTAGCTGGGACTTCTTTGAGAGTTGAAACGGACTGCTCCTGGTGGAAGGACATTTAGGGAGATTTAGGGAGTCCTGCGGGGCAGGACTGTGCCTGGGATTTAGTACAGGGAGACTGAAAGGCAGTTGGGAGCCAGGTCATGTTTGGCTCTGCCATGCCAGGGATGGAGCAGCAGGCCTCTCCCAAGGTCACCGAGGCAAGATCCCGTTTGTGTGTTCCCTGGCAGCCGGCAACAGAGGTGTGAGCAGACCAGAAGGGGAGAGAGCCTTGCAGGGGCGAGTAGCCTGCATCCTGGCTGAGTGGTCCAGGAGGAACCAAGAGATACTCAAAAGCCTAGGCTGTTGGCCCTATTTGGTGTGGGTCGTGAGGGAAGCCTCTAAGAGCACTGTGGGAGTGTGTGGATGTGGGGCCGATGACAGAGATTTGGAATAGGTGGAGGTGCAGGGCTGGGAGGAGGAGGGCTGCTTGCTCTTGACCTTGGGGGAATCTGAGGAAGTTGAATGTACCTGTCTGGACTCAGGGGGAGATCTGGGCTTAGGAGACACCAGATCCTTATCTTGGGGATGGTGGAAGCCACCGGATGGTTGAGGAAGGGGCGAAGTGCGGGTGGAGCAGAGGGGGTTAGAGGGGAAGCTAAGGAGATGAAAGCCCTGTGGGAACTTTGGGGAACACCCCCCCAGAGATCCGCACCGAGCCCCATCTTGGTGGTTAACAGGCCCAGCTCCCTGGCTATGCAGCCATTAACCTCTTTGAGCCTCAGTTTCTTCATCTCGGAAATGCGATGTAGGTGAGGATGAAATGAGTAAATGCAAGTTAACCCTCCGGGAACAATGCCTGACACACAGCGAGGGCTCCACAGAAGCAGTCTCTGCTATCATGGCCATCACTGTCATCCTCCCTGGGCCGATGCTGCAGGTAAGGGAGGTTCAGCACTTCCGCAAAGGGTGTACGGCGCAGCCTCCAGGAGGAGGCAGTGCAGCTGTATTAGTGAAAGTGTAGAGGTGGGGGCGGGGGTGGAGGTGCGACGTGAGGTCCTTAGCAGACAGAGTCCTCCCGCTGCCCAGTCAGCCCAGTCCAAGGGCTCAGGACCCTACCACTGTTCCAGTGCAGGGTCACTTCCCACCCAGAAACGTTTCCCTGCTACCTTCTGGGGCCTGGCTTCGGAATGGCCGCTCTGCGACTCAGGCCCTGCCCTCCTCGATGGAGGCGGCGCCAGGACTGCGGGTCCGGCATTTGGGGCTAGGGACACAGCTGTCTGGTTCCCCGGACCAAGGGAGGTCCCGGGACGTTAAAGCGTCCGCCAGTTCTGGGCGGGTCCCGGTCGGGTGTGTCCTGACCGGAGTGAAAGGAGACCTCCATCTATCTGCGATCCCCCCTTCCCCAAGAACCCTCCCCTGCCTCTCCTCTCCCCCACGCCCCGCTGCGTCCCCCACTCCCTGAGCAGTTTCTGTGCTCCGGGACCTCTGGATCTCCCGGACGCGTCCAGCCCCTGAGTCTGAAGACCCGGAGTAGAGCGGGATCAGCCAAAGAGCGCCCCGGTGACTGCCCCCCGGCTTCTCTCAGAGCGGGTCTGTGCACTTCGAGCTCCCGGCCCCATCCCACTCACCCGCTGGGACAAGCGCGCCCTGTACCCTTTCCTACCCCAAGACTCCCACTCAGCGCATCCTCAGACACTGCCCGTCGCCCCCTGTCCTCCTCGCCCCACCCCCCCCCGGTCGCATGTTTGCACTCTCTGTGCAAGGGCTCAGGCGCGCCCTTCCGTCCTTGGCCCGCGGTGCGACTCCGACACAGTGGCGCGCGGGCCCGGTGGGACCCTTGCCCCGCCACCTCCCCCGCCGCGCTAGCGTCCCGCCCCGCTGCGGACGCACCCGGCCCGCCCCTCCAGCCGCGGACCCGGGTCGGCGCGCCCCCTGTCGTCCCCATGCTCAAATTCCCGTGTTGGCGCCTAACTACCCTATCCACAGGGTGGGTGGTGCCCTCTCCGCCCTACCCGGGCACTGACTGAGCGCCGCGCCCGCTTCCCTCCCGCCTCAGCCACCCGTCCCGCCGCGCTCCAGCCCGACCCTCCGGCCCCCGCCCGCCCCAGGCGGCCCGCGTCGAACCCCTCCGCCTCTCTGTCCGCTGAGTGCTGCCGGAGGGGCCAGGGCCGCAGCCCGGGCGTACCCCCTCGCCCCCGCAGTGCCCCCCGCTCGCCCGCCCCGCTAGTCCCTGACCCGGATCAGAGAGTCCAGCGCCGGGCCGTCCAGGCACGTGAAGTTCTGCAGCAGCGTCCACTTGTCGCGCTGGAACCTCGCGCTGGAATCGCGCGCCGCGGCGCTCTCCAGCACCCAGAACACGCCGGTGCCCAGCGCCAGGTAAACCAGGTAGGCGAGCAGCAGGAGCAGGGTGCCCGGCACCGCGCACTCGGAGACCCTGTGGTCGGGCGCTGCCCGGGCTCGGAGTCCGCACAGAGCCAGAGAGGCAGGGAGGCCTGGGCCTGGAGCCATGCGCCAGGACTGAGTCGGAAAGAAAGGGCTAGGAGCTCGGCTGGTCCCCTCCCCAGCCAACGCCTGCCTGTGGCCAGTTTTCTCAGCAGAGGAGGCTTGCTGGGGAATGGGACAGCCCAGCCCCACCCCGCACCGGGATCCAATCCCAGGGACAAAATGAGGCCGGAGCTGTGGGCATCTGGCCCCGCCTTGAGGGTGTGTGGCGTGCTCACCCCCCAGGCCTAGCTCAGGGAGAAGGGGAGGGCTGCGGGGTGACCACAGGCCTCAGAAGGAAGGACACCCTCCCAGGGTGTCCTACTGTAGGGAGCAGTGGGAGGGACTCCTGGAAACTCCACAAGAGAAAGAGAAAGTAGAAGGTATGTTTATTGCCTTAGGGCCCCAGCCTAAGTTCTTGGATCTTGGGACTATCACCAAGACTTGCCACCTGTCAAGTCCTCCCTGGATCTCTTGCAACAACCCCCTTTCCGTTGTGTACCCAAAGGTGAAGGACCCCAGCTGATCACCTCTTGTCTATGAACTTGGGAGGCAAGAGGATCCTTGACCAGTGGGTTTGTTCATTCCCTGCTTCTGAAGAGGCCCCCTAACTCCCTTCCTGCAGGAAGGGTCCACGGTATATAAGGAGTCCCCTGGGAGTCTTCCGTTTCCCAGGCCTCTTCTTCATACCAGGAAGTCCTGTGGTGTAACCTGGGTCACTCTTGTTGCTGTAGATCCTTCCCTGTGTGTCCCATTTGGAGCCGCTTCTTCTTCACAGCCTTGCCTCAGTCCTGTCCAGAGCCCCCGGCCACTTATGGGCCTGCCTTGATGGCAGACGTAGGGGCAGAGGTTTGGAGTCCTTGCTAAGGTTGGGCTTTGGCTGGACTGGCCTCAAACTCTCCTCTCCTTCTGGCCCGAGATGTCAGAGTCCGGCAGGAGAAAGGCCAGGGCTGCAGAGCGCGTTCCCAAAGGAGGCCAGGCCTCCATGGAGCTCATTTCCTGGGGGATCTCCTGGGATCTGCTGGCTCCCCGTTTTCCCAGGGTGTGTTTAGAAAGACTCTTAAGACAGACGCTCAGAGGGGTTAATGAGGTCAAGGGGGCCCTGAGGAGTCAGGGGGAGGCCACATTCCGGAAGGTTGGTGGGACACCCAAGAGCCCCGCCTTGTTGACGGACAGCTCCAGGCCTCTAGGCAAGGGGAGCTGGTGGGCTCTGAGAGGTAGCTGCCACCTTCCCGAGGGCAGCTATCCTGTTTGCACGAAGATGCTCCAAAGTCCCTGCCCAACCTCTCTCCTTGACCCTCCTTGCCAGTCCCTCCTATGGGCTCTTGTCAAACCCGCTCTACCCCACTGGGGGTACTGGCTCAGGGCCTCGCTGCTTGTCTAGTCCTTCCATCGGATGAAACGCACAGGGAGAGCAGGATCTTTCACTATTTGCCCCCAGAGCCTGGAACTCTGCCAGACACATAGTGGGGGCCTGACAAATGCACATTGTGCATGTATCAAGTGAGGTGAAAATAAACTCACCCTTTGTCTGCTGTACTGAATAAAGTCTCCTGGGTGGGGGTGGGGGGACGCAGTAGGACATCATGGGGATTTGACCAGAGTGATCCATGTCTGGATTCAACTTTGCCAGGCCACATTTGGGGGAGGGGCTTTGGGACAACGATGCGCATCTCACTCCACACACATCTGTCTTTCATCCTGTCCTACATCTTGCAGTGAGCTGCTTGGGCATTCCATCTCCTTTGCTCTCTGGAGAGCTCCTGAGAGCAGCCCTGGCTGGGAAGGGAGTGGGAAAGGACACAGAAGAGGAAGTCCAGAGGGCATACAGGGGTAGGGGCAGCAGAAGGGGCTCCTGGGGCCACTGGTGACCTCACGCAGAGATGGGGATCTTCTGAGGTCTGGGGAGCCCATCCATCTCGGGGGCTCCCCGGTCCTTGAGGCTGAGCCCCCTGCTGAGCAGCCAGAGCTGGGAGCACCTGTGCAGAAGCAGAGGGCCTAGGGGGAGGATCAGCGCCAGCCACGCCAGGCCCAGGAGGATCCAGATGGCAGCCAGGCTTCGGTACACCGAGATGTAATGCTTGCTGGGGTCTGTGCCTGGCAGGAAGGAGACATGATACATGCCAAGGATCTGAGGGCACAGCCCCTGTCGCCCCAGGTTCCACAGGGGTCCCCGCCGGCCTCCCCATAACAAAGATCTGCAGTGGTCCCCGGGGGAAAGGGCCATGGGTCCCAGGCCACAGATGTCTAAGGATGTTAGAATCCTCAGCAGCCTCACAAATGGTTGGTCTCCCCTGGATAACCTATCTGATCCTCAAAAGGTTCCTCCTGCTGACATCTCCCCATCCCCCAAATCCCCGTGGCCCCCACCCTGAGCTATGTGACTGCCTTTTTCTCACCAACAACATAGTCCCCGAAGCCGATGGTGCTGAGAGTGATGAAGGCGAAGTAGAAGCCTTCCCCAAAGCTCCAGCCCTCCACATGGCTGAAGACCATGGGCGGGAAGATGAGAATGACCAGCGTCCCCAGGGTCAGGAACAGAGCCAGGCCCAGGATCTGCAGCAGCTGGGAGTGAGAAAGTCTGTCTCTGAGTCTACTTGGAAGGCCCCAGGATTGGGGAGGGACAAATCTGGGAGTGGGGCTGGGCCATAGCTATGTCTCTTCCTGGCCCTGCAGACCTTTGGGGTGGGGGTTGTGTTCTGTGTGTGCGCTCTTGCCCAGGCCAGGGAATATTTGGTCAGAAGGATTTTGTTAGTGGGTCAGGCTGGAATCTGGAGACTCCTCTGGGCCTGGGGATCACACTTGGATAGGCCCTCGGGGGACTCAGATCTGGGTTGGAGGACAGCCACTGAACACTCCCGGATTGCTCTGCACCTCGGTCCTCCTTCGTGTGCCTGGCTTTGCAAGGTGGTGGCCAAGCGGGTGGGCACTGGGGGTGTGCCGGGTGGCCTGGAGTTTATTTTTAACCACAAGAGGAGGTGCTAGAGCTCTGTGATGACCACAGGGATGTGCCGCCCTGATCCCCCTTGAAAGAAGACCTTGTTGACCAGCTGTCAGCCAGTGGCCTCCAGCTCTCAGCTCCTTGGAGGTGACCCTTGGCTACAGAGGACTGCCCGGCCCAAGGGCACACCCTTCCCAGGAAGGCCACTCTGTGCCTGATGGACACCAATAAAGCACTGGCCAATTTAGCCCCCTGTGGGGCCAACTCCACCGGCCACACACCATGCAGAACTCTGTGAGGGGATGTCCAAGTCTTTGTTCCAGCCTGATCACAATTCAACCTCTTCCTCGGCACAGCCCTTTCTTCCACAAGCATCTACCCCTAAGACCCTGCCTGCCAAACTGCATCTTGGCGTCAACTTCCATTTTCACTCTGCAGCGGATCCCATCAAGGCAGGGCTGGAAGGGGCTGGAAGGGGCTGGAAGGGGGAGGGTCCCTACCTGGGAGCGCCTGGGCTGCTCCTCCCACCTCTCCAGGGTAGCCAGGTGGCCATGCAGCCCTGCGCCCAGGTGGTTGAGGAAGACCACGTTGAGCGGGATGCCCACCAGGGCGTAGAAGACACAGAAGACCTGGCCTGCCTCCGTACTGGGCGCCAGGTTACCGTATCCTGCAGCGGGGAGGAGTGTGCAAACATGAAGAAGAGAGCGTTCAGAACTGCCTCCCGCATAGGCTCCAGCAGAAGGTGGTCTTCCACTACCTCTGGGGATGGAGGGGAAGCTCCTCTGTTTCCAAGAACATTCTCCCTGCCCGCCCCCCCCGCTAGAATGATCTCTATTTTTAAGACTCCTGCTTATCTTTCAAAGGCCCATCTCCAGGGACACTGCCTCTAGGAAGCCCTCTTGACTGCCACCCTCTTCCTCCCTACTAGGAGTGGTTCTCCCTCGTGCTTTGTGTCATTCTTGTCTAATTACCTACTTTGCCTCGTGCTATTGTTTTCTGTGTGCTTGTCCCATTCCTCTTCATTGGATCAGAAGCTCCTTGAGGGCTGAGCCTGGGTCTGATCCAAGTTTGTACCCCCTTAACTCCCCACTTCCTCTGCTTCAGTTGTCCCCTGAGCTCAAGGAAGGTGTGTGGAATCGAACTTAATTGAATGGATGGGGAGACCTTGGATATGGGGGGTCTGGGGTTTCCTTGGGGGAGGTGGTGTGGGTTTTCTAGTTGAGGGGGTGTAGCAGATGCTGTTGGGTGTCCTGTCCCCTCAGAACACCTGGGGCACTACCTGCAGCTCGGGGGACAGTTCTTGCCCACACAGGTGGCTCTCCACCCCAAGTCCCTGCATCTCTACCTGAGAGTGTGCTTGGTCTATGGGCAAGTTTCAAATACTGGAGAGTTAACACATCCGGGATCAGCTCTCAACCAGCAAGGGCAGGAACTGGTAGATAAATAGCTCGCTTCCTCACCCCTCACAGGCACTGTTCTGAGGCTGGGTTCCACCTGGCCTCTCAGAGGGCCCCGGTGGGAGCAAGGCCAGCGGCCCTCACTGGGACCCTGCTCGTCAGTGCAAACTTTGCTGTCTTTTCTCCCCTCCTGCTCTATCTCCCCACCTCTCTACTCGTGCTTCCTGGCATCATCTCCGAGACAAACCACATCCTGGTCTCAGCATCTGCTCTGGGGAACCCAAACCAAGACAGGGGCTTTGGGGAAGCCCTTCCCCACCCCGACTCTTTACCTATGGTGGTGACAACTGTGCCTGCAAAGAAGAAACTGCTGCCGAAGTCCCAGTTGCTGGGGTTGGTGGAGTTGCCTTTGGGGTTCACACCCTTCACCCAGGCTTCCATGATGACCTGTGTGGGAGTGGGGGGGTGGCATGGGGTAGGAGGAAGAGGCAGTTGAGGCACCAGCTGGTGGCCAAGCTCTCTGCAGGGTGCTTTCCTGTTATCTCATTTAATGATATCCTTAGGGGCTCTTGTTTCCATTGTGTAGAAAAGGAAACCCCGGCTCCATCTGAGTAGCTAACTAACTTGCCCAAGGTCATTGGATTCCAAATCCACGGCTTGTTCCACGGGCCAGGGCTGACTGAGGTGTGGGCTATAAACATGGCCTGGGGGAGGGGAAATAGGT